ACCTCCCAGTACCTTGCTACCTCCCAGTATCTTGCTACCTCCCAGTATCTTGCTACCTCCCAGTATCTTGCTACCTCCCAGTATCTTGCTACCTCCCAGTATCTTGCTACCTCCCAGTATCTTGCTACCTCCCAGTATCTTGCTACCTCCCAGTATCTTGCTACCTCCCAGTATCTTACTACCTCCCAGTATCTTGCTACCTCCCAGTATCTTGCTACCTCCCAGTATCTTGCTACCTCCCAGTATCTTGCTACCTCCCAGTATCTTGCTACCTCCCAGTATCTTGCTACCTCCCAGTATCTTGCTACCTCCCAGTATCTTGCTACCTCCCAGTATCTTGCTACCTCCCAGTATCTTGCTACCTCCCAGTATCTTGCTACCTCCCAGTATCTTGCTATCTCCCAGTATCTTGCTACCTCCCAGTATCTTGCTACCTCCCAGTATCTTGCTACCTCCCAGTATCTTGCTACCTCCCAGTATCTTGCTATCTCCCAGTATCTTGCTACCTCCCAGTATCTTGCTACCTCCCAGTATCTTGCTACCTCCCAGTATCTTGCTATCTCCCAGTATCTTGCTACCTCCCAGTATCTTGCTACCTCCCAGTATCTTGCTATCTCCCAGTATCTTGCTACCTCCCAGTATCTTGCTACCTCCCAGTATCTTGCTACCTCCCAGTATCTTGCTACCTCCCAGTATCTTGCTACCTCCCAGTATCTTGCTACCTCCCAGTTTCTTCCTACCTCCCAGTATCTTGCTACCTCCCAGTATCTTGCTACCTCCCAGTACCTTGCTACCTCCCAGTATCTTGCTACCTCCCAGTATCTTGCTACCTCCCAGTATCTTGCTACCTCCCAGTATCTTGCTACCTCCCAGTTTCTTCCTACCTCCCAGTATCTTGCTACCTCCCAGTATCTTGCTACCTCCCAGTTTCTTCCTACCTCCCAGTATCTTGCTACCTCCCAGTATCTTGCTACCTCCCAGTATCTTGCTACCTTCCAGTATCTTGCTACCTCCCAGTATCTTGCTACCTCCCAGTATCTTGCTACCTCCCAGTATCTTGCTATCTCCCAGTATCTTGCTACCTCCCAGTATCTTGCTACCTCCCAGTATCTTGCTACCTCCCAGTATCTTGCTACCTCCCAGTATCTTGCTACCTCCCAGTATCTTGCTACCTCCCAGTATCTTGCTATCTCCCAGTATCTTGCTACCTCCCAGTATCTTGCTACCTCCCAGTATCTTGCTACCTCCCAGTATCTTGCTACCTCCCAGTATCTTGCTATCTCCCAGTATCTTGCTACCTCCCAGTATCTTGCTACCTCCCAGTATCTTGCTACCTCCCAGTATCTTGCTATCTCCCAGTATCTTGCTACCTCCCAGTATCTTGCTACCTCCCAGTATCTTGCTACCTCCCAGTATCTTGCTATCTCCCAGTATCTTGCTACCTCCCAGTATCTTGCTACCTCCCAGTTTCATGCTATCTCCCAGTATCTTGCTACCTCCCAGTATCTTGCTACCTCCCAGTATCTTGCTATCTCCCAGTATCTTGCTACCTCCCAGTATCTTGCTACCTCCCAGTATCTTGCTACCTCCCAGTATCTTGCTACCTCCCAGTTTCTTCCTACCTCCCAGTATCTTGCTACCTCCCAGTATCTTGCTACCTCCCAGTATCTTGCTACCTCCCAGTATCTTGCTACCTCCCAGTATCTTGCTACCTCCCAGTATCTTGCTACCTCCCAGTATCTTGCTACCTCCCAGTATCTTGCTATCTCCCAGTATCTTGCTACCTCCCAGTATCTTGCTATCTCCCAGTATCTTGCTATCTCCCAGTATCTTGCTACCTCCCAGTATCTTGCTACCTCCCAGTATCTTGCTACCTCCCAGTATCTTGCTACCTCCCAGTATCTTGCTACTTCCCAGTATCTTGCTACCTCCCAGTATCTTGCTACCTCCCAGTACCTTCCTACCTCCCAGTACCTTGCTACCTCCCAGTATCTTGCTACCTCCCAGTATCTTGCTACCTCCCAGTATCTTGCTACCTCCCAGTATCTTGCTACCTCCCAGTATCTTGCTACCTCCCAGTATCTTGCTACCTCCCAGTATCTTGCTACCTCCCAGTATCTTGCTACCTCCCAGTATCTTACTACCTCCCAGTATCTTGCTACCTCCCAGTATCTTGCTACCTCCCAGTATCTTGCTACCTCCCAGTATCTTGCTACCTCCCAGTATCTTGCTACCTCCCAGTATCTTGCTACCTCCCAGTATCTTGCTACCTCCCAGTATCTTGCTACCTCCCAGTATCTTGCTACCTCCCAGTATCTTGCTACCTCCCAGTATCTTGCAGTATCCAGTATCTTGCTACCTCCCAGTATCTTGCTACCTCCCAGTATCTTGCTACCTCCCAGTATCTTGCAGTATCCAGTATCTTGCTACCTCCCAGTATCTTGCTACCTCCCAGTATCTTGCTACCTCCCAGTATCTTGCTACCTCCCAGTATCTTGCAGTATCCAGTATCTTGCTACCTCCCAGTATCTTGCAGTATCCAGTATCTTGCTACCTCCCAGTATCTTGCTACCTCCCAGTATCTTGCTACCTCCCAGTATCTTGCTACCTCCCAGTATCTTGCTACCTCCCAGTATCTTGCTACCTCCCAGTATCTTGCTACCTCCCAGTATCTTGCAGTATCCAGTATCTTGCTACCTCCCAGTATCTTGCTACCTCCCAGTATCTTGCAGTATCCAGTATCTTGCTACCTCCCAGTATCTTGCTACCTCCCAGTATCTTGCTACCTCCCAGTATCTTGCTACCTCCCAGTATCTTGCTACCTCCCAGTATCTTGCTACCTCCCAGTATCTTGCAGTATCCAGTATCTTGCTACCTCCCAGTATCTTGCTACCTCCCAGTATCTTGCTACCTCCCAGTATCTTGCTACCTCCCAGTATCTTGCTACCTCCCAGTATCTTGCTACCTCCCAGTATCTTGCTACCTCCCAGTATCTTGCAGTATCCAGTATCTTGCTACCTCCCAGTATCTTGCTACCTCCCAGTATCTTGCTACCTCCCAGTATCTTGCTACCTCCCAGTATCTTGCTACCACCCAGTATCTTGCTACCTCCCAGTATCTTGCAGTATCCAGTATCTTGCTACCTCCCAGTATCTTGCAGTATCCAGTATCTTGCTACCTCCCAGTATCTTGCTACCTCCCAGTATCTTGCTACCTCCCAGTATCTTACTACCTCCCAGTATCTTGCTACCTCCCAGTATCTTGCTACCTCCCAGTATCTTGCTACCTCCCAGTATCTTGCTACCTCCCAGTATCTTGCTACCTCCCAGTATCTTGCTACCTCCCAGTATCTTGCTACCTCCCAGTATCTTGCTACCTCCCAGTATCTTGCTACCTCCCAGTATCTTGCTACCTCCCAGTATCTTGCTACCTCCCAGTATCTTGCTACCTCCCAGTATCTTGCTACCTCCCAGTATCTTGCTACCTCCCAGTATCTTGCTACCTCCCAGTATCTTGCTACCTCCCAGTATCTTGCTACCACCCAGTATCTTGCTACCTCCCAGTATCTTGCTACCTCCCAGTATCTTGCTACCTCCCAGTATCTTGCTACCTCCCAGTATCTTGCTACCTCCCAGTATCTTGCTACCTCCCAGTATCTTGCTACCTCCCAGTATCTTGCTATCTCCCAGTATCTTGCTACCTCTCAGTATCTTGCTACCTCCCAGTATCTTGCTACCTCCCAGTACCTTACTACCTCCCAGTATCTTGCTATCTCCCAGTATCTTGCTACCTCCCAGTATGTTGCTACCTCCCAGTATCTTGCTATCTCCCAGTATCTTGCTACCTCCCAGTATCTTGCTACCTCCCAGTATCTTGCTACCTCCCAGTATCTTGCTACCTCCCAGTATCTTGCTACCTCCCAGTATCTTGCTACCTCCCAGTATCTTGCTATATCCCAGTATCTTGCTACCTCCCAGTATCTTGCTACCTCCCAGTATCTTGCTATCTCCCAGTATCTTGCTACCTCCCAGTATCTTGCTACCTCCCAGTACCTTACTACCTCCCAGTATCTTGCTATCTCCCAGTATCTTGCTACCTCCCAGTATGTTGCTACCTCCCAGTATCTTGCTATCTCCCAGTATCTTGCTACCTCCCAGTATCTTGCTACCTCCCAGTATCTTGCTACCTCCCAGTATCTTGCTACCTCCCAGTATCTTGCTACCTCCCAGTATCTTGCTACCTCCCAGTATCTTGCTATATCCCAGTATCTTGCTACCTCCCAGTATCTTGCTACCTCCCAGTATCTTGCTATCTCCCAGTATCTTGCTACCTCCCAGTATCTTGCTACCTCCCAGTACCTTACTACCTCCCAGTATCTTGCTACCTCCCAGTATCTTGCTACCTCCCAGTATCTTGCTCTAATCATGTAGTAGTTTAACTATACTAGCAGGAAACCGTCTAACCTTAAACTCTTAAAGTGGTGTCAAGACTCGAGAGACTAAAATAATTATTACCTATTTAATTCGCGTTTTTGACACCTCTTGGGAGTCCAAATTTTGGGCACTAAAATTCTTATTCCTTGGCCAATTTTTCATTTTTTCATGCTGATTTAAAGGCTATTAAAGCATTTGACCCAGTCAAAAAAGTTTCAGTTGTATATCTTTTACGGGTTTTGCGGAAAGTCGCGTTAAAGTTGATGCCTTGGTGTCAGTAAAATGGCACGGATCCATATATCCATATATATCGTCTCGCTTTATATATAGTAAGATGTCAGATAACAGTGACAGTTGTAAGATATCAGTGTAAACTGTAACCGTCAACTCTAATTTGTTTGTGCTAATGATATGAGGCTAGCTGGCACGATGTTTTAGCTACCAAGTTAATAATGATGTCAAATTCTTTTTATCTTCTTTCTTATTTAGCCAGTGTAGGCCACCAGAAGATGTGTTGTAATTAGTTTACAAATTAGTAACACACAAAGAAAAGAAGATCTGATTTACCTTGTATCTAGGATCACTAGTAAGACGAGTAAGTTCGTTAAATTCCAGCTGAATTGTAGTTACTTCGCTCAGAGAACTGTGTTTACTGCAACCTGGACACGTGGGTCTGTGTGATATACCTGCGGTTAACATGGTTACTAATAAATACGGTTACCATGATTACTTAAAACAGTAACAACTTCAACACAATTACCATGGTTACGAGAAACAGTGGAAGTGAATATTGCTTCTTCCATTTGAATATTTTATGGAAACAATTAACATTGCTAAATCAACTATAAAACTCCAGGCTGCGCGAACTATTTGAACCCTATAAACTATCGAATGGGTAAAAAGAAGGTCAGAGAGCTGATTGGTGGTGTTACCATGGTTACTGATTAGTGCTGTAAAGGTACCGAATATAACCAGGGACACTTGAAACATACTATCTAACTAACCAATAAACACCCTCTCAGGGCTAACTTGTTGGTTAATTATTTGGAGAAACATGATTCCTTCTTCACTCTTCCTCCTTTTTACAATCAGAGTGGAAAAGAAGGCTATAATTACGTAGTGCACATAAATACTGATACCATGGTTACACTCAGTTACCATGGTTACACCCGATTCTAATCAAAGCAACATTGATTACCTGGAAGCCCGATGTACTACAGAATGGACAAGATATATAATATGTGACAAAGTATATTGCATTAATTAAATATTTAATGAAGGCTCACCAGTTGAGAGGTCGATATCGGAGAGAGGTACACCAGAAGTAGTTCTAAATGCTCCAGAGTCAATGAGCATGTCACCTAGCTGTACCTGATAAATAATGAGCATGTCACCTAGCTGTACCTACAAGTGTCCTGGTAAATAATGAGCATGTCACCTAGCTGTACCTGGTACATAATGAGCATGTCACCTAGCCAATATGCAATATTACGCCACTGCCTGCAAGAGTTGATATCTACAATAACATCACAGCGTCGTATCTATAGCTCTATAGTACAGCCAATAAAAATGTGATGACAGATCAATGTTAGGAATGTTGTACAAAACATAACACATTGTAAGGGGGAGGGGGAGATATTAAATAGCACAGCACTAGGCGCTAATATTTCATGCGTCAGTGGTTTAAATTTCATACCAACGCAGCTTATCCCAAAATATACCTTTTCTATATAACTTAAAAGTCAGAAAAGATCAGAAATTTTCTTGAAAGAATCATCAAATGAAACTGAATAACGCTACACGACTTAATCAGATTAACTGAATATGCTCCACGTAGGCAGCACTAGTGTGGGAATACTGTTGTTAGCTTAGCATTCCTCGGATACCAGTAATAAAGGTCAGCCTGAGTACACTGTTAATAATGTTACCACCTTACTCTACACTCTACACACTACACTCTACACACTACACACTACACACTACACACTACAGTCTACACTCTACACACTAAAACACACTACACTATACACTATACACTCTACACACTACACACTACACTCTACACACTACACACTACACACTACACACTACACACTACACACTACACACTACACTCTACACACTACACTCTACACACTACACACTACACACTACACTATACACTCTACACTCTACACACTACCCTATACACTCTACACTATACACACTACACTCTACACTATACACTCTACACACTGCACACTACACTATACACTCTACACTCTACACTCTACAATCTACACTCTACACTCTACACTCTACACACTACACTCTACACTATACACTCTACACTCTACACACTACACTCTACACTCTACACACTAATCTCTACACTCTACACACTACACTCTACACACTACACTCTACACTCTTCACACTAATCTCTACACTCTACACACTACACACTACACACTACACTGTACACTGTACACTGTACACTGTACACTCTACACTCTACACTCTACACTCTACACACTACACTCTACACTCTACACACTAATCTCTACACTCTACACTCTACACACTACACACTACACTCTACACTCTACACACTACACACTACACACTACACTCTACACTCTACACTCTACACTCTACACTCTACACTCTACACATGTAGTCGTGTACACTACATGTAGTGTACACGACTACATGCGTTTTAACGCCCTCCATTCTGTGTGTATTAACACTATAATAGAGAGATTTACAAGTTTCTAACTTACACTCATCTTACTACCGATAATAAGGTTACCGTGACAACAGGTTCATTTGTGTAATACGTGTGGAATGTTAGTATGGCTTGAAAGCTTATTAGAATTAATTGGAATCATTAATTGGAATCATTAGAATCATTATAATTAATTAGAAGAGAATGCAACTTAATCAATCATTAGATCGAGAAACAAAATATAATATGTAGAATAGTTAGAATACCCCTCCAACTTGTGTATTACATTTGATCTGTACTAAAATGTAAATATTACGTGTTTCCCAAATTAATTATGCAGACATTAAGGAATATTATTACTACTAGGAGTGTTATGTAACACTCCAGGTAATCAAGTTACCCCCCCCCCCTTACAACGAGAGATGTTATTTTAACGTTATTAGCACAAATGTTATCTATTGTGGTGCTCATCATATCAACATATTAGTTACTTTTAAATGGCAATACAATTAAACTTAATTAATTACTTCTCAGTAAGATATTATATTATGTACTGGTGTAACCCGTGCCTACGGCCGGGACTTCACTATCGCAGTTGAAATGCAAAAGTATAAACCCGCCTATTATAATATTCGAAAATATGCATTACATTACATTTTCGTAGTTAAAACTGTGTGAAAGTATGAACTCGCTCAGTCCAAACAGACCGCAATTTAATTCTGAGTGTCCCTCGTGTATCTAATAGTAATACTTGATAGACAATCTTGAGGTATACTGACAAATTACCTAATTATATAGCAAATCTGTTATGAGGGGAGAGAGAGAGAGTGGGAGAGAACGTGAAACACTTAAGTACCACAAAAAGATCAATTAAATCACATGCCACCGGCCGATTTAAAAAACCTTATTCATTTGGCTTCGTCAGAGTTTTGTCGGCACTATACCGAAAAAACCAGTCCCATATCTCTTACCGTTTTCTTGATTAAACCGCTCGAAAATTACCCACAGACAGACAGACAGACACACAAATTATGGGATTATTAGCATTGATAATGTGATCTTTGGTAATATAACATAACTTACTGCCTTAGTAAGGTATATGTTATCCTTGGTAAAGTTGAACATTGTCAGGAACGCGCCTAGTACTCGAATAGTTATCTCGAATATATTCACGTTCTTTGCTCCACTTCTGAAAAAGGGATCGTGTAAATCCTACAGTTCGCTACCATGGTTACATGGCACGATAACAAACTGGGAACTATCAACAGTACCTACAAGGAAAGTAGCTGAGGTAGTGTTAAAGGTCCCCTTAATATTCCCAATATCTAATAACAGACAATAACGTATTAGCTGTAGCATGAAGTTAATTGGGCTCGTTCCCTCCAGTACAGGTCTTACTTCTAACAATTTGTTCATGTTATCAGTGTAAAGCACTTCTACCATATAATCAATATGTACCTGTAATCAATATCCTGAACAAAATCGTACGCTTCCTTCAATTCTTCCTTCATTCCCATCAAGAACATCGTATCAAGAGAGTCAATAATAGTTAAACCTGCGTAGATGTGGTAAAGTGGTAGGTGGTAGGTGGCAGGTGGTAAGTGGCAGGTGATAGGTGGCATTTGGTAGGTGGTTGTTGTTATATACAATTAACAATATTATAATTAAAGAACTGCACCCCAATTTCAGTAGTATGAACTTACCTAATCCAAACCAAGTGCTACCATGACACGAATCTGGATGCAGCTTGTCAGTACCCCAGGCACATTCTTTGTACCTTTTCCAAGACAACTTCATACTTTCTCTTATTGATTTCATCCTCTGTAATTATTAATAGTTTTAACAAGCTTGTTTCAATAGAAATGCTTCTTGCACAATATAAAATAGGCGTCAGTTTATAAATAGTATTATAACATTTATAAGAGTATTAATGTGAGAGAAGTAATGTATAGGGTTTATCTGGCTATTTTGTACCTTATTTAGAAGAGGGCGAGGAATGGGGAAATTTACATCTTCTCCAGGGAGCTGGTACAAGTGAGCATCATCCAGATCTGGTTCCAGTGGCCATGGCGCACTCAGTGCTGCATACTCACTTTCAACTGAGTCTATCAGCTTCTTTTTCTCTCCATCAGCAACTTCTCCATCAGCAACGTCTCCATCAGCAACTTCTCCATCAGCAACTTCTCCATCAGCAACTTCATCATCAGCGACTAATCTCTGTTCAACTGTGGCATCGCGATGACTTTTATCAGCAATGAATGGTTTTTCTTCAGCTATTACTTCCTTTTCTTTTTCTCCTATATTTGCCGAATTATTGAAGCTATCTGTTATATCACCTCCGTCTACTTTATTACCCTGTTTGTCTTCGCTTTCAAATAATTTATGGTCATGTTTTAGCCGTTCTAAGATTTTGTTGGGATCAGCAGGGATTTCGTCGGGTTGTTTCTCTTCTAAACTGAAATTAAGCATATAATTATAACAATGCTAATTATTGACTAGAATAATACATAATGTTAAAAATCTAAAATGTTTGTGCCATTTATACGCGATCTTGCCTTTTGACACAAGTTATACATGATGAACACATTACAACAACAATTATAATTATCCAAGGCTTACACTATAAAAACATCTTCACTGTGAGTATGGAGTTCCGGCTGTTCTGCTTTATTTATCACGATCACGAAATAAATTGTAAGGAATCCGAATAGTGCAGAGAAAAGTCCGAGATTCCAATAGATCTTGTTGTGCCACTGAAAAGGTCAGTATTTTAACTTTGTTATTGAAATATTTGATAATTATTCTAATTCTAATTATAAACCTAATTCTAATTCTAATTCTAAACGTAATTCTAATTTTATACAAATAAAAAGAGCAGGTCTAGATTGAAAATTAAAATTCGTACATACAAATCTTTACTTATCGGTTCACATAAATGTCAACAAAATGATTAATACATACTGTTATAGGGATTAGTGTAGGCACTATAAGAGATACGTGCGACATGATCTTATTGATTTAAGACTGATGCTAAGAAAAAGGAAGACTGTAACGCACTGTAATACACTGTAACGCACTGTAACACACTGCAACGATAGGGACACTGGTGATACTAGTATGACCGATATAGCCAATGTGTGATAGATGCTTCAACAAGGCACCATTCCATTTTAATACAGTTGCCATTGTGAATATCACGTGACTAAAAAGTACAATCAAAATATCACTGAATTCGCCACTGTTATAGCTCAAGTCCCCATAAGGAATAAAGCAAATCTACTCTTCCATTATTTGGTAGTGTCATTGTTAAAAACCAGTTTCAGTCGATACTGTTTTGAGGGCTACCTTACCATTGTCCTTGGCCAGGCAATTAATATTTCAATACAAATTATCTTCCATTTTAGAGCTGGGATAACTATACACAATATACGAAATGTAAAGGTTTTGATATCTGGACGTTTTGCTGTAAAAAGCAAAAGAGCACAAATAAAGTTACTGCTTCTTGAAATATTAATCGATCTAGATGTTTAAAACCGTAGTTACGTGAACACCCAGTAAAGAGTATTACTTTTAGTTTTACAGCTCAGGTCTTTAAAATTTAGAATTAAATAAAAAATCACATTACTGATGAGATAATTGATGGGGTATGATATTATGATACAAAGAATAAGAAAAAAAACTTACTCTTGAATTCTTCTTTGTAGTGTTGTTGCTAACTGGAACATTGATAACATACATCACACATGGTGATCTGCAACCTACAGAATGAAACTTGTTAATTGTGATCACAAATCAATTATGTCATGTAGTTTAACACCTGTAACTAAGTACACAGGACCCTGGTCAAGTGAAAGAAACTCTATAAAAAGGCATAGCTCACTAGCACAGAAGGACATGGAGCTAGGAAGTTTTTATAATTTCATCAAGTCACAACTCACAATTGCACCAACATGAAAATAGTGGGACAAAGGAAATGTTTAAAGGTTAACAAGCTTGCTCGTCTATGACTCACTTCTCTCATGTTTACCTGGGAGATGGGAAGGCGAACCCTAAAAAGCATAGATGGACGGCCGCATACTTAAGGTGTCATGGTCTGCGCAATACTCTAAGAGAACTGTAAACAGAAGCTGACCTGGCACAAGGAGTTTGTTTGACTGTGAACGGTTAAATTAAAGCTTTGTGGTGAGGCTGAGCCTCGAGTTAGTGCACCGTTGTAGATTCCTGAGTAATGGAATAACTTTAAAGATTTTAAAAATTGTCACTATAATTGATTTAAATACAAATTTGACACCATAGATGTTATCCCAAATTATAGGGAACAGACCTTGGCCCTGGTCAGGCAAGGAGAGACGGTTAGCATCCGGAAATTTGCAAGATAACAACCTATCTACCAAGACGAGAGGCGAGAGCAGAATACCCAGCTTTCATGCCTTGATTATGTCATTCAGGAAATACCTATTTCGGAAAGAGAAGAGTCATGGAACCAGAAAAATAGATCTGACACAACTATTATCAATTATAACCATGTACCGTGACCGTTCAAAGCATTTAGTGTTTCCTTACTGGGCGAAGATCAAATCGATTTGATTTAATTTGAATGAAGTCCCTAGGTAAGTGTTCATGCTCGCTGTAACAACTTTAAATAGCTTTTATTTAACTTGTATAACTTAACGAGCTTAACAGTTAAACAAAAATTTCAGTTAAACAAAAATTTCAATTTTATGCCATTTATTACAGATTAAACAAGTTTACAATAAATCAATTTGATATGTAACGGAATCCTAATTCAATGTGCAGTATGGTTGTCACTCTTTAAATAGATTAGATATAGGTTGACGGGGCAAAGTAGTGTGCGTGCTGTTCGCTATTGCTCACACCAAACGGCAACCTAGTAAATGTTTTGTATGAACACCGGTCTCCATCACGATACAAAATTTGGATTGTAGAATTTATTGTATAACTATTAGTGCAGTGGAGGTAGCGGTGTGGTGCATTAATAGAGTGACAGCCTACTGATTTAGAGTTGTTTTTAAGTGAGCAAAATGAGTGTATTTTTGGATCTAATGGCAACTTAAAAATTTGTTCTTTTAATCATTTATTAAATATCTGTTTAAAAATATATAAATCTGGAATCTGTTCACTCTGTGAACCAGTCCTATAAAAATTTCAAAAACCCTCCTAAATTAAATATTAAAAACGTCTCAGTAATGGAAATAGTCATACAATTAAGAAATTAACCAAATTCTTAATATCTACCTAATAGAAAAATACCTGCCTAAGTCAATTTCTACCTGTAATACACTAAATATTAGGTTAAATACATAGGTGGTGGAGTCAGCACACATTTACCAAAATCAAAATTGTTCAATAGGAGGAGCCTGTGGGTCGAGATCACTGGATTAAATTTGATGAAGGGGATTGTTTTCAAATGACAGCTGCATTATGTCATAATCGCTTGTGGTCCATGCCGAATCATTATGAGCATGTTGCAGCTTTAGAAGTGCCTTTTTCAGGCGACTTTGAGCAAGGCTAATCTTGTAGGAGTAGTCAAAGAGCTTAAGTTTAGGTGCAATTGTGTTCCAAATTTTGGTGGATCTTGATATAAAGTCATTAGATGGGAGTTGTGAAATGATAGTGGTTTCCTTTCTAGAAGATGACTGATAATGCTGTTGCAGTGATGCTGGGCACCTTAGTTTTAGTATTTTAAAAACTTCCATAAATGTGTGATATGTATATAAATTTTTGAAAGCCAGGATGTTTTGTTGCTTGAAAAGTGGTTTACAGTGCTCTAGTTGGAAGAATGTATGGTCAAGTGCTTGGCTGTCAAACTCTCTTGTTCTTGCACATGTAAGGAACTTGTTTAGGTATGCCTCTTTATCACCAAAGAGGACCCGTACACAGTGCTTCTGAGACAGCCAGATACTTGCTGTCCTAAAGAGTGCTGCATCACCCCAAACTGAGATACAATATGTAAGGTGGGATTCAAATAGTGTGTGGTAGAGGTCTTTATGGAGTTCCTTTGGTACAGAGTCCCTAATTCTATTTAAGGTGGCAGAGGCATAGTTTAACTTTCGTTTAAGTGCTGTTATATGAGGCCCCCAGGAAAGTCCGTTTTGACTCATCTAATAAAAAGAGGCAGGTTATATCTCCACCAAAAGTAGGATGAGAATCCCTGCCACGTTTTTGGTCAGTTTCGCGGGGCTCATGTCTTTCCTCGAGGGAGCATTAGTGTCTACAGAAAAACTGACAAATCCGAACCACATCTTCCATCAGAGGTGGTGCTGGGTCAGCTGGTTACTGAACTGATTGGCCTGGAGAAAGGCATAGTCCTGTTATTCTCAAGTTAACCATAGAGGGGGTCAGGCGCTGTTCGCTCACGGCTGGTTCTTGGAGCCAACACCCTCAGCCCCACAGAAGTGGGAGCACTGTCGGTGGTGGCTCACCCAGATAACGCACAGTGTCTCTCCAGTCTCATTCCCAGGCGAACCCACCCCCACTCACTCACTCACTCACACGCCGCCCCCCGGATCGCTCCAGCTAGTGGATATCTAGCAATTAGTTATTTTCCAGCTAGTGGATATCTAGCACTTACTCCTTTTCCAGCTAGTGGATAATTAGCACCCAGAAAAACTCCGGTAAACGGAAGCAACACGAACACACAAACAAAGAAAGTCACACGCGGCCCAAAATTTCAAATTAAACAAAAAAAGGGTCTTCACAAAACACAAATTTGCTTGGTAGCTTCTTATTGTCAACATTATACCGCGCGCATCACAAAGACGCGCGCAAATAAAAGAAATCATAGATTTGGGCAAGAGATACTAGATGCTCAGGTATGCCTGGTAGGTTCCTGTCTGCTCACTAGAAAAGACAGGGGGCAGCCTGTTCTAAAAGAGCGCCCGGGAGATCACCTAGGCATGGGTGGTGCTCTCCCGAGACCGAGCATTATGACAGTTTTCCTTCGGGAAAACGTCGCTCACAAGGCTTTATCCTCCGGAGGGTAAGGAGCACTAGCCCATGCCAAGAGCCCGTACCCTGTGACACCTACAACCGGAGGGACCCCAATAGACGTTAGTCACCAGACGGACGTAGCCTTCCGATAGGAAGGTAAAGTGGGTTTTTTTATTTTTTTAAAGAGAGGCTGGGCATAGAAAGCCCACTGGAGGATAGCATTAAGATGCTTTGCCTACCTCTGGGATGTGGGGGAGTTTGTCGGGGACAACAGTGTGAATTGTGGAGGACGGTGGTGGTAATGATCTGAATGGGAATACCGCGCTTTGGTACCAGATGAGATTAGAAATCAGTTAGGCAAGGCTGCATATGTACATGTATGTAATGTGTTAATGCGCTAAGTTACGCCAGTCTGATCCAGTTCTTCTGGTACTATTAAGCGTTTGGTGCGGTTTGCGAAGTTGACGATTGTGGTAATGTGGTGGTTGTCGAATATGTCGTTGACCGAGAGGTAGTAGTAGTCCCGAAAGTATTGACCCCCAACCCAAAAAAAAAAGAAAAAAAAATGTCCACCGAAAGCACACTCCCAAAATTGTACTTGTTGCAGTAACTTCTTTCAGACTTCATAAATCGAGATCAAATATTTTGCAATGTATTAAGAATCAATATTATATGATGCACTTATGCAGATGAGCTTCATGTATTGCGCACTTGCCTTCTCTATGAAGATTTCCATCACAGTTTGTCTCCACAAAGTAAAACATTACTCTTCTCTGATATTGGATTACTGGGCAGCGCTCAGCCTGTCATTCCGCCACATCTTTATGAACATTATAGCCTGGGGTCCCTAGGTAAATATTGGAGAGCAAACTCCTAATAATAACTTTTTTGCTTATGCATCGAATTTGTGAGCTCTGTTATCAGTACAGTGTATTAGTTGTTAGAGTGTAAAGGGGGCAGATGGCTACCTTTTACCAAGATGCAGTGAAACAGATCGGAACAACAGAGGCGGTTTTTTATTCTTTAAAGTAAAAGTAAAAGTAAAAAAAGGAACTTTAATCGTTTTTGTTCGAAGTTGTTAACTGTTTGCTGGACTTGATTAAGCTCCTGAAAAGTGGATGTTTAAAAGTAGATTTGTTGAAATCGGAAGCGAAATGCGAAGGAGCACAAAAAACACGATTTTCAAAAATGTTTATCTGACACCTGATCGAACCCTGGAGCAGAGAGTAAAACATCGAAAATTGGTAGCAGAGTCGAAAGAGAAAGCTCTAGAAACGACAAACCAATATTATTTAGCAAATTCTTTGAGAGAGAGCACACCAAGCCAATTTTTGCCCGTCAATCACTCATGACATTGCATAATTTATACGCGTATCACTGCTGCAATGAACTTTTTAAAGTCTTTAAGTATCGAACACCAATTGCACTATTTGAACTTTTCTGTTTGTCTAAAAGACCCGGCAAATAAACTCTTCTTATAACAACCATGCCCTCAAACAGTTTCGTTTACAAATCTAGTTGCCTTTGGAATTCATTCCGTCAGATGTTGGCACTGAACGACCTTGAAATCACTCATAGTGTATTCAAATCAAAGGTAAAAAAAGTCATTCTCTCGTCTCAGGGTAAAGGTGACAAGAATACCTGGGCCCCTTTGGCAAACTTTCTGAACTCAGGCAGCTTGAACAACTAAATTTGAAAAAGTAAAACTTCTTGTCTGAATGAACTATTAGAACCTCAAGAAGCTGATCCGCATGTCTCCGCTACTAAAATGTTTAATGAGCCCAATCACTCATCACTTAACAGTTTAATCTTCAAAGTGAGTTGTACAATCTAGGTTGTTTTAAGTAGCTGTTGATAGTGTAAAACAGGAGTGACTTGATCGTTTTCATAACTTCGATTTACAATTTGTACCATAATAAAACTAGCACTGCCATGGGGTTCAAAAAGGGTCATTGTAAGCCTTCAGCGTAATGGTCCTAAGTCTCTGCCCCATGCAGTGCCTGTCAGCATCAGCTAACAGAATAGCCCTAACATAACGATCAAGCCACAAATTAGGTTCTATAATGATTTAATATTGTTGAATAAAGAGATTTGAATATAATATTTGTTTTATTCTATTTTATTAAGAATGGTGCAGTTTGCAGTCGAGCAAATCAGTAGAAGATAAGAACATTGTCTCGAAAATTTCAATAATCAAAAGTATGAGCATTAAGCTCAGTTAATGTAAGAGCCGCTTTAGAAAGCACTGGAGTTTATCTCCAGGATTAAATTATATCGAGTTATATGATTTAGCTATAAGGCGGTTTATAAATGTTGTATTTATTATTATTAAGTAGCAGTGCAGGTACTAAGAAAAAGGAAAAGAAACCAAACCACTTTTACCGCATCACATAGCGATAAATCGACGATAACCACAAAGATATGCGTCACCAGTAACAACTGACTCGTCAGATTGTGATGGATAGACAATTAACAATTTTGTCCCCCCATTTTCAAATTATTCTAACTGGGTTGATTTCTGAGTGATAACGCTGCTTATCTTTTAACAGCAACACATTTTCCGGGTTACATGGCCGATAAGAGATTTGTTAAGTACATACATATAACTTGTATCACGTGGTGCCCCCACTGTCGCTTCACTATAGAGTTTCTACGATTCAGGGGGAGCCGCGCACTCGTGCGCGGCGGGTCATACAACGTATGACAACATATAACGGTTTACATATTACTACATAGCACATTTTAGGATTGTAGGTTTATAACCTACTAGGACGCGCGCCGAGTTGGACTCGTCGTATTTGGAACAAATATTTTACGAGTATCACCCGTTACATTTTACGATAGTATTGTAATTAAAATGCTTGATGTAGCAATATGTATTTTAGATTTTCATCCCAGGAAACCTTACCGTTAGGGGCCTAACTTCGAAAATAAAAGAGATAGAAAGTGCAGGTTTTCAACAAAATGTCCATCTCGTAAAATTAAAGTTAGCTCCCCAGGAGCCAAATTTGGGACAACTTAGATTTTGAATTATCGCGAAAAGTTTGATTTTGGGCTAAATAAAAGATCGCAGCTTTTAAACGTTGCAAAGTAATGTCGTTGTCATGACTCCAGATTGTAATTCACGCGAGTGATCATGCAGTGAACATGACGTCACGCGCGCTGCAACACACGTGCTATCTGCTATCGAAAAACAACCACCTCTAGTAACACGGCCAGCCGGTAAGCTTTCGATCCTGGAACATGGGATCACCATAACAATAACAATATTTTCTTATGTAAAACTTAGAACACTTTCACAAGGGTTCAATTAATTAAAAAATGTCATTCTAAATAACAACATTTTATTTTTTATTATGGTGTCTTGCTCTATCCAGAGCCCTTGCGCTTGCAGTAGCGCGCGCCCGCCCTTGTGAAACAAGCGCGTCCGAAGTAGTGCGAAAGCACATGGTTAGGTGAAATGGTGTCTTCAATTTTTATTATCCCTTTTGAATTGTGTTATTGTAAATATATTTGACTTGTGGGTAAATTTACTTTGGCGCGCGCTAATTCTCCCGCGAAAGCACATCCAATTTGATAGGCATAAAATAGTTTTATAACTTGCCTTATTTTCGATTTTGCACTATAAGTACGTTAACGTGCTAATTCGATCAAAATTGAAAATTGAAAATTGAACGGGGAATTGTTACCAGTTTAAAATTTGTTTTAAGGCACCTCAATAAAAGCTACTCACGTAATTGTGCTTTTTACGGAGAAATAAATTGTAGCTTTATAACCTACCAGGACGCGCGCTGAGTTGGACTTGAAACAAATATTTTACGAGTATCACCCGTTAAAGAAATAAAACAATATTTTTGAGCTTGTTATTCCTTTTCAAAATGCAAAAGTATTCAAAGTGATTTACATAAGTGCATACATTGACATGATTCTAAATACATTGCAAAAGATTTGATTGACGATGTTAACCCTTTCAGATCGTTGCTCTGCAAATTAACAAAGCAACGATATCGTCACTTCGATACGAAGTAAAAGTAGTTGTTTGCGCGGCGTGTTGAAGCAGCGAAGTTTAACAAAAGATTTAAAATCGATTCACAAAGTTTGAAAGCAAAAAGAAGTTATTACAATTGCCAGTGCCCAATGCGCGCAATTCAATTTGGGAGTGTGCTTTTGGGCGGGAAATATAAACTGCAGAGCCATTTACTTTTTTATATTGGGTCAGACATTATTATTGTAATTTGTTTTGCAATTTTGTATTACGTCGTGACCCCATCATATGTCGGTTCACTAATAAGTATCAGTTCACTAAGTATCGTTTCACTAAACATCGTTTCACTATTATCGTTGCGAAAGCCACGATCAACGATACAGCCACGCACTCGTGTGCGGCTGGCGGGCAGGTCTACAACGTGTGTTGTAGGTTTATATATGTGTTGTAGGTTTATTATAACCTACCAGGACGTCCTGGTAGGTTATAAACCTACAAGGACGCGAGCCGAGTTGGAACAAATATTTTACGAGTATCACCCGTTAACAACGTGTGATACAATTTTTCTGTTATTAATAGACTGACCCAGCGCACGCTATACTTCGAAGCTTTGTGCCTCGAATATTTTGAGAAGAGTAGCGGAGAGTCATGGAGTGCTTGTTGGATGGTGGTCTAAACTGCTTTTTGTTGTGATGTGATTTAGTGGATTTTACATATATTATTACAAAGGGTTTTATTTTACCTCAGTTTTTAAATTTGTACCATTTTTACAGAATCTTTATAATTATAATTATTTTTATATAGGGTCATTGCTATATTATGTGTATATTGTTTGAAAAAATAAAGAGTAGCGGAGATGCAGTTCTGATTAACAAATCACTGATTCCACGATTTGACTAGTATATAGCTCTTGCAGCTGTTTAGTTGACAGGGTGTATCACATTATGTTGTACATATCATGAATGAATTTTTGGGGATACGACTCAGTTTCAAATTGTTCATGTCCGCAGCAGCAGTTCAATAAGTCCTAAAATCCGATCAGCCTCTATACTAATGTCTAATCTTAAAGAAAATGAATGGACCAAATGAATAAGTTCCTGGCGTAATTTTGCCTTGAAATTCCTGACAAAGATTTTGGAACATAATATAACATGGCTATCAATGTTTTAAGAAGTTGAGTTTAATTTGAGGCAAGCTATTGAAGGTTAATTGGTCGCCTTTTTTATGAGACACTCTGAATTATTTCATTAAGGTTAAAGACATAAAAAGTTTTCAGAGAGTACACTCCTGACTCCCTTAAACTCTCAGTACACATGTCTTCAGTGGTCAGTTATACCACATTGTGAATTGTGATGGATTAAAGTTTTACATTTGTACTGTCTTTTTGGGTGAAGAAGAAGGGCATTATACATATATCGGGCGAGTACGGTAATGTTATGCTTATGTAAGCTTTCATTCAAGATCCATCCTAATTATTAATGGCAGCAATCAGTTGCAGTGGCGTAACGAAGGGCCCCGCTGACCAGTGGCGTAACAACCGCCCCTGCTAACCCTGCTAGCAGGGGGGCGGCACCTTAGGGGGGCGGCATTTTCCTGGATTGTATTGGCCCTTGATATTAACTATAACCGTGTTGATGGTTTTAAATTTTGTATGTTGTAAGTATTATATTTTAGTTTGTGAAGCGTTTACTCCTCCCCCTCAGCAAGACAGTTAGATTGTAGATTAATGATAATAATTGTCAAATGACGTTATATATTATATAACAGTTATAAATGTTCAATAGTTGTAGAGCGATTTCAAGAGTAGTGGTCCACAGGGGTCCGAAAAAGCCGTACAGGCGCTTGGGTCCTTATCCTTGTCACTAATCTCAATTGGATTCGGTTTACACAAAACATGAACATTTAGACGTACACATTGACACGATATTTATTAGAAAGCAAAAAGTATAAAATAATACGTGCGTGCGCGGCTTGAGCCGCGCCGCATAAGAACGGATGCGTGCAGGGGCTGGAGTACGCTTGTATGTAGATTAATGAAATGTTGCATTGTAAATATTGAGAATTGACGATATACTATGATCTAATAGTAAATTTTACAAAGCTGGCTTTGGATTTAGGTAAGATTATAATTCATTAAAAAAAAAACCACGGATAGTTTAAATTTATTTTTATTTGTCGTATAATCATAAATTATTTAATCCTGTTTTCAAGAATGCGCGGCTTTGGCGGCCAGTTATTGACTTATAAGTACATTAAATTGAATTTTATAATAGAAATGTAAATACATTAAATTGAATTTTAAATAGAAATGTGAATACATTAAAATTTAAAACTTTCAAAACGGAGGCTTATAAATATTATTATATTATGATTGTAAAATAAAGGATAAAATTTTAAATTTGTTTCACTAAAAATTTGTTTCACTCTGATTTCATGAAAAAAGCGCCTTATTGGTGTACTACCCTGTCGAATTTAGCGTTCGGTCGACGTGGGCGGCAAAAAGGTGTAGGGGGCGGCAAAAAAGTACCTGACCTTTTTTTTTTTTTTTCTTTTTTTTAGGGACACAAAATTTTAGGGGCGGAAAAGGGGCGGCAAATTTCAATCAGCAGGGGGGCAGCACAAAGTAACGTTACGCCATTGCCGCTGACCTCGCTGTGGGGGGCGCCATCTTTTTTCGGCAGGGGGCGTCAACAGGCAACGTTACGCCACTGGCAGCAATTAATATAATGGCGTTTAAATGAATTGTTAATGATAATTGTACTGATTTTATAAATTCAATACAATTTAGCAAAACAAGTCTGGATGTATAAGCAGACCAATATCAAGAAATCTGTGAAGAAGAGTGGGTCTTTAGAATCTGCCTCTGACAGGTATGGGTTTACTCAATCATTACCAAAATACTTTGCATACTAAATTAATTTGTAACAATCTTAACTATGCAATAAATGAATTCAAATTGTAGTTTGAATAGAACATTTGTTTTAGGTCTGTGTCTCCAAACGACATTATGGGGGCAAATGAGAACAAATCTTCCACAGTGAAGAATCGACAACAGGTTTTGGCATAAAATTCATTTAAAAAATGTGATATTTAAACTGACAAGGTAATTTAATTGACAATGATAATAGCCAGTACATGGGAATTCCTGTATAAGACATGATAAAATGATAAATGTAACAAACAATCATGCTGAAGGACCATGTAGGTTATTTAATAGATCACAGCACAGACATAATAATTATTGTCAAAAGTATTTTAATCTGTTTTTTTTCCCAATTGTCTATTTTAACCATGTTTTAAATCCAAAAATGCTATCAGATAATCCCTAAAAAGACCAAATCTGATAATGTAAAGACTGGAATAACGAAACCAAAACCAACAACCAAGTCTTCCACCAAATCAGCAATAAAAACATCTCCTGTAAAGCAAACAAAAGCGAGCAGCAATGCCAACTCAAAGCTTCCTAGAGTCAAAACTGGGAGTGCTACTCCGCCTACTCGTGCCAAGTGAGTTTATGTTTCTATTTGCACACAATAATATTATGTTTTCAATCTTCTGAGACAAACTTGTTTATTCCTTTCTGTCTCAATCCTTGACCATTTTCCTTTAATCAGCACAAAGAATTTGAACAGTGCAAAAAGCCCTCCTAATCTCAAAGCAGCAAAAAGTCCTCGGTCCTCAAACGATCCCAAAGCAGTGAATCCCAATTGGAAGGTGCCCTGTGTGAGCCCCCCTCTGGGAAAGGCATCTCCTGTCAAGTAACTAGTTCACTTTATTCTTTTAATTATAACACCCTTCAAATCATCTTCAATTATTCAAAATAAATCAATCCCGAATACTAAAATATGTTTGCTAATTACTGTAACAGATACTAATGAGTAATGACTGTAATTGATATTAATGACTGTAATTGATACTATATTACTATATATAAAGCGAGACGATATATATCTGTGCCATTTTACTGACACCACGGCATCAACTTAAATAACGCAACTTTCCGCAAAAACCGCAAAAGATATACAACTGAAACTTTTTTGACTGGATCAAATGCTTTAATGGCCTCCAAATCAGCATGAAAAAATAAAAATTGGCCAAGGAATAGTGATTTTAGAGCCCCAAGTGGACCCCCAAGTGGTGTCAAAAACGCGAATTAAATAGGTAATAATTATTTTAGTCTCTCGAGTCTTGACACTGCCTACGTACGGGGTAGACAGCCACGGATGATTTTGTCTGTGAGCTTTTCATCACTTCCTGACATGAGCCAGACCTCAGCTGGATCCTTCCTTTTCCTTTTTCTTTACTTCCCGTTCAGTCTACCTCTTCATCATCAGTTTGAGTTGCTTCCGTGCTTCGCCTTGCATTCGAACTTTGCCTCCACAGTTCACCACGGCACCTCTTTTGGATGCCTCCTGCCAGGCAACACTAGCTCTCAGACACTGGCTAACTTACAGCGCACGGTTTAGTTTCTGTGTCTTTTCTGTGGCCGTGTATTCCGTTTTATGCCACCCTCTCTGCCGTTCTCGCGCTATCGCTCACCCACTCCTCAGTGGGCTGTTCATTTGACAGAGTTACTGGCTGGCACTCCCATCATCTTCTCACTCACCATCACTGCCCAATCAAATTTATGCAATCAAAATCACTATACACCCATAATCATATGATCAAAACACAAAGCTTTAAATAACGTTACTGTAATGTTCCAAATTATATTTTAAATGTTTAAAAATTAAAAAAAAGACACCATTTAGGGTTATATTATACGGGTTCCTGCTAGTTACTGTAATTGATGCTAACATTTCCTCAGACCACTACCAGGTCGGGGAGGACCTAAGAAACTAAAGAAGGTGTTTAATCCCCCTACCCTCTTCTCGATGTGTAAAGCCGCTGTGTCCTCTATTGTCATTTCCCCTCAGGTAAACTGTAGTATTATAGTGTATATTCTCAGTTGTTTGCTGCATTATATTAACGTTTTGTAGTTCGCCAGAATCTTGTAGTGTAATATCACACATCTCATATCTATCTAGTGCTACAGCTTTACAAATGTGCAAAAATGTTAAAAAAATTTCACACAAAACAAACTTATGTTTATCAGCTCTTCTGTAAAGGTATTGTTCTTATGTTTTGAGGGGTCCTATTATTTTATATGGTAATTGATAATCAACCCAAGTATCAGTAATGCACAGAACTTAAGAAATATGACTTACTTTTTGTACTGTACTGTACTGTACTGTAGTGTACTGTACTGTACTGTACTGTACTGTACTGTACTGTACTGTACTGTACTGTACTGTACTGTACTGTACTGTACTGTACTGTACTGTACTGTACTGTACTGTACTGTACTGTACTGTACTGTACTGTACTGTACTGTACTGTATTTAACGGTAATGATTTTCAAGTCACGCTTCACGCTCTAACTATTCTACAAACAAATGCTCAATAAAGTGCTTTATTTCACGCTATTATCATTACAGAACACTATTGCAGACACAGTAGGTCATTACTTGTTGGTGTATTAGGTTTCAGTTTGCACTAGTGACTTGTCTGTCTAAATTACAAACGATGTTCATGATCATATTACTTGATGAGCGCAAATACGATTATTACAGTGGGTGATTACGTAATAAAGTGGTTTAATTCTCTATCTGTCTAATTAAGTAGCTGAGAGAGATTACTTTGTTGTAAATAATTGTAATCTCTACAATACTAGTTATAATCATTATAATTCTAATTAGTTTCAGATCAATACAAAACAAATTGTACATCTCTTTCAAGAGCTGCTGGATCTGAAATAAATAGTTTTGTAAAATGTGTCCCTCTTCCCCTGCAGTAAATATGAAGAAGACCATGTTACCTGTGTTATTATCAGGTGGACGAAGAAGCGAAGGAGTTTCTAAAACGGCGACTTTTCAGTCAGGCACTCTTCGGAACCGTGTGGGAAGTGGTGAGTAAAGTAATGCTATATTGTTATTAAATCTAACCAATTATCTTAGTGTCCAATTATTGTAGTGTCTTGAATATTGGGGGCGGGAGGGGGGGGGGGGGGGGGGGGGTGTACAACAGAGTGCAACTTAATAACCGTATACAAATTGTGATAGAAATCCTTTTAACATGCCTGCGGATAGAATTTTGCAGGATTGTTGCAGAAATATTTATTAATTTCCACAGTAGGTAGTAGTACTATTTTATCATGCTCGTATAACCCCTGTAGAATGAGATCCTTGTAGAGACATGTTACTGAGGGTACAGAGGGCCCCTATCTGCCACTTTAACCTAGTTACCCTCTATTAATCTAAATAACTCACCCCGCTCTACAGCTCTATAATTCCTCTTGTTTTCCTTTTCCTGAAGTTGTGTTGGGAAGTACCAGTGACATCACCATATCAAATATGCTTTAAACGTTGTAGTTAATACGTCACTCCTCCTATTATATTAATCACTTTACTGAAGTAATATAGAAACTAATCTTGGCACACACGTTACTAAGTACTAGATCCGCTTCTCATTTAATGTCGTCCTGAGTTGCTGGCTAGTTGTTAGCTCGGACAACAAAATAATTGTTAGCTCGGACAACAAAACAACAAATAGTTCCGTTCTTTGATCCTTGTTGTAATAATCATTTGAATGCTTTTGTTTTATCTAAATTTTTAGCAAGAACGGCAATTTCTTGTGTGACTTTTCACATTGATCCGATTGAGTGGACCGCTTTTTGTATCAATTAGATCTAGTAGTATATAGTGTAGTGTGAAATTCAGTTTCGTTTATTTCAAATTTCTCCGGACAATATTAAAATAACTGTCATTTACTTGTTAATATATGTCTGTGTGTGATATGTGTATATTATGTATATTACTGTCAAATAGAGACCTGAGTATTTGTAGTAGATCCTTGTGTAAACAATGATCCCACAAAAACACAGTGTCTAGAGAGCTGTGTAGTAGAGACCTGCACCTAGTTGTACAATACCGACACCTCTGTGGAACACAGACACTATCAGTAATAGTGTTATCCTTATCAGTAACACTGTTATCAGTAACCAGAGAGAGAGATACTACAACAGCTGATATAGTCACGTCCAGCGTTTCTCTTGTCGCTGATATATAAACTATCTAGAGAGGGTACTACTAAGTAGGGGTATGGAAGGTCTCTACTCCGGTGTTGGCTGCTGTTCTGTGTTAGTCTGCTGTGTCTGTACAGCACTAGTTATCCGCAACAACATCTTTCAAATACAGGTTTGTAACATTTTTACTTGTAGTTTTATTAGCACAGGCAGTGCTACTTGGAGTCTGGAGATGTTGTTAAAACATCAGCCACATACCTTAAATTATTAGTACTAGCATTAATATATAGTAGTATATGATACCATATATAAATACTATATAAATATGTTGAAAATATTAGAACATTATATGTTTTGTGCACTGTTTTTATGAGCTAAGTTGACCGGTTCAAAAGTGCAAACGCATGCTTTAAATCAAACTCTGTATTAGCTAAAAACGTGATCGACGTAAAATAATAGTGCCAATTAACGGAACGTATTAAACAAAATAAACGAGTTAAGTGGAGAGATGACATTGTTGATTAATATAATATAGGTTATTAATTCTTTAGTGTACATTATTTTCATTTTTACCATAATTTTTTAATATCGTCGAATTATAATATGATAAAATTGGCAAGTTTCCATAAACGATATTTTATGATCGGCGCCGATAATCGCTTATTGAGCGCTTTTTCGGCGCTTTTTTTTTTAAAAACCGTTTACAATCGCTTTTTTTACGATTATAAACGGTTCAAAAAAAATCGCTTATAATCGACTATAATTGATGTCATAATTCAAAAAAGCGCTTTTTTGAATTTAAAAGCGCTTATAAGCGCTTTTAAGCGCTTACTAGCGTCGCTGAGCGATTTGAAAGCGGTTTTCCAGTAGGATTGGCGCCAAAAACGGGTGGATAAGCGGTTGGCCGGATAAGCGATTCGTAGGCGCTTTTTTGAACCATTTATAAGCGATTATAAGCGCTTATAATCGGGGTGCAATTTAGCTGTTTGTAAAGCGCAAATAAAGCGCTTATAAGCGCTTTTTAAATTGAGTCAGGAAAACGCTATATTACACCTTATAACCGCTTATAATCGATTATAAGCGTTTTTTTAGAAATCGCTTATTACGGCTAATTCATCGCTATTTTACCGCTTTTCCTATCATCCATGGCCAGGTGAGCAGGAATTAAAAAGCGCTTATAAGCGCTTTTTCAATGCTGCCCCTTACCTGGTCGGAACGGGGTAGTGCCCGGAATTAAAAAGCGCTTATAAACGATTTCTCAATTCTCTTCAACCTGGTCGGAACTGGAGAGTGCCCACTTGCATGTGCTTTTCTGAGCAACTTGGGGTGCACCGGCAGAGTCAGGATTTAAAAGCGCTTATAGGCGCTTATGATTGCTTTTCTACCGCTTTTCCCATCACCCATGGCCTGGTTGGCAAGAATTATAAAGCGCTTATAAGCGTTTTTTCAATGCTGCCCCTAACCTGGTCGGAACGGGGGAGTGCCTGGAATTAATAAGCGCTTATAAGCGATTTCTCAATTCCCCTTAACCTGGTCGGAACTAGAAATCAGAGTGCCCGCTTATTAGTGCTTTTCTGTGCAACCTGGGGTGCACCGGCAGAGTCGGGATTTAAAAGCGCTTATAGGCGCTTATGATCGCTTTTCTACCGCTTTTCCCATTACCCATGGCCTGGTTGGCAAGAATTATAAGCGCTTTTTCAATGCTACCCCTAACCTGGTCGGAACGGGGGAGTGCCTGGAATTAATAAGCGCTTATAAGCGATTTCTGAATTCCCCTTAACCTGGTCGGAACTGGAAATCAGAGTGCCCGCTTATAAGTTCTTTTCTGTGCAACCTGGGGTGCACCGGCAGAGTCAGGATTTAAAAGCGCTTATAGGCGCTTATGATCACTTTTCTACCGCTTTTCCTATCGCCCATGGCCTGGTTGGCAGGAATTAGAAAGCGCTTATAAGAGCTTTTTCAATGCTGCCACTAACCTGGTCGCAACGGGGGAGTGCCCGGAATTAAAAGGCGCTTATAAGCACTTTTTCAATGCTGCCCCTAACCTGGTCGGAACGGGGGAGTGCCCGGAATTTAAAAGCGCTTATAGTTATAAGCGATTTCTCAATTCCCTTCAACCTGGTCGGAACTGGAGAGTGCCCACTCGTATGTGCTTTTCTGAGCAAACTGGGGTGCACCGGCAGAGTCAGGATTTAAAAGCGCTTATAGGCGCTTATGATCGCTTATCTACCGCTTTTCCCATCACCCATGGGCTGGTTGGCAGGAATTAGAAAGCGCTTATAAGCGCTTTTTTAATGCTGCCCCTAAGGATTTGGAAAGCGGTTATAAGCGATAACAATCACTTTTTATTGCTGGTTTTTACCGATTTATCTATCATTTATCAACATGGATTTAAACATAGTTGTTTGACTGGCGATCTAGAAGCCAAGCAAGAAGGCTAAGTTCACGGCGCGGCAAAGTTCTCCGACAATAATTGTCAGAAATTGTAAAGCGCTTGCAAGCGTTTATTTATATGTTGTTAATGGTGGTGGTTGTCCTGGTGGCGGTCGATGCGCGCTGCGCGTGCGTCATCAGCATAGTTGTTAAGTCCGTCGAAGAAATGCGAAAAGTTCGTCCAGTTCGGCACCTTTTAAAAATTCGTGAAAATTCGTGAAAATTCGTTGCGTAAATTTTCTTGGCATATGTTTTGATTTTATAATGAATGGCTTAGGTGCGATCACTATTACACTTGTAAACAAGTGCGCTGTATACAATATTGTATAGCGTGTACGCCGTGTACAATTTGTGGTGAGCAAAATTTAGAAAATTGGTATTTCAATTGTCCAGTGATCTGAATTTTGGGAGGTCATTAAAAATTCGGTTAAAGTTCGTCTATTTCGTTAAAAAATTCGTCCAGTTCGGCACCTTTTAAAAGTTCGTCCAGGACGTCCGTAACAACTATGGTCATCAGTGATCAGTCATACACACTTCACATTCAGAACTTGCAAAAGAAAAATATAGTATATGAAATTAAATTATTGCGCTGGGCCACGCTCAGTCTGTCAACGAGTATGACAGGCCTGTTTATGTCATTCCAAGGAATCTCGAGTCGGGCTGAGCGAATCACGACGTCTGAAAAAAGTGCGGTGCTCATTGAAAGTTAGTGTGTGCGTGACCAGCATTCACGTACTTGTTCATAATCAATCGTGGACATAAAAACAAGTGCACGCTGAGTACCAATACTAATAGGAAAAAAGTAATGTATATATACGCTAGTAAAGCCGTGCGCGTGCAGGCGTGCTGAGATAGCTTGTAAAATTTGGTTATTAGATAGTAAAACTGCAACAAATAAACCGCGCCAGCTTGCGCGTTTGAATCGCTCCTACGAAATCGCTCGCCCAAATTTCAAGAAAATTATTGTGAAAAGGCCTTTGGGTATGACATTGATCTAACTCGGTGTAACTGTATTTTTTGGACGCTGATCCCGAATCACCCGCCATGACGTAGGGTAAAAATATTTCCCTGGAGAGTTACATGGGCAAAAACCGTTTTAGTCACGTGACAGGCTAGTAAAACATGATTTCGATTGTTTAGGGCTCATGTTAGGGTTTGGGTTAAGGTACGCGGGTTATGGATAGCTTTGGGGTTATGGTTGGGATTAGGGTGATACTCGTAATATATTTGTTTCAAATATTAGGACCGTCGACGATTGACGGATGTTACTCGTCTAAATTTCTTCGAAGTAGCACGCGCCGCTTTCTTCTCGATGGCAAGTGCTACGAAGTAGCGCGCGCCGGGCCAGATCATTAACAATGGTCAACGTCGACGAGTCTTGTCATACGTTGTATGACCCGCCGCGCACGAAGTGCGCGGCTCCCCCTGTAGCGTCGAAGAAACGACCGTGG